CTTAGCCCTCTTATTATATGTCTGAAGACCAGGGCCACCAATGTTCACACAGCCACACTACTGACTTCTGCAGATGGCTTCATCTATGCCTGGTCTGTTAAAAGCAACGGGGGTCTGTTAGGAAAGTTCAAGGCAGTGAATGACGAAGGTGCAGTCATTACCACCATGTCAACCGATGTCAATGAACATATACTACTAGCTGGGGATAGTACCGGAAGGATTTATCATTGGGACATACAGGGATTTGGCTTTAAAAGACAGGAAGACAAAGGGCGGTGCGTGTCACTGTGTCCACCTCCTCTGTTGGGGACCTGGCACTCTCACCTCACAGCAGTGGTGAGTGTTAAGTGTGACCCTGACTGTAAAAACATAATTACCACAGGGTTAGACTGCAATGTCCGGATATGGACAAACACAGGCCGCTGTATAGGCCTCTTTGGGAGGGATAAATGGCATTCTACCTAACTCAGCTCTGAGGCGGATGCTGACCAGAAACCGGCAGCAAGACCTGGTATGGCAGAGACGAGAAAAGAATCAAGAATCTCTCAAACGCCACTTGAGACTCTAAGGTCATCCCCGCCAACATTTCCACTACCAGACCTACCACCTATACAAAATTATCCTCCAAAATTTGAGAGGCTCTATCAAGACATTACAGACACATTAACGGTAATTGACATACCAAATGATGAGGAATTGTTTAGAAGGTATCGGAAGTTGATGAAGGGTAAACCAGAACCTGATCAAATGAACGACGAGGAGCAGCATCAGTCCAAGAAGGACAAACAGCAATTTACTAGAAAAGGAAAGCAAAAGTCGACACATACATCAAAGACATCTCCATTAAACACCACCCTAACCACAAGCTGCACTACTGCAACAGACAGCTCGCCACACATGCAGCAATTTGATGGTGCAGTCAAGCTGCCGAAGTTAAAATATGGACGTGTGTTCAAGATTCAGCAGAGACACACATTAAAAGGCAATGTCCTAATATCATGTCCACCAGACATCCTTAAGCAAGAGTCTGATCACACATCAACACCATCTCTATCAAACAACACCCCAACCACAAGCTGCAATACTACAACGGACAGCTCGCCACACATGGAGCAATCTGATGGTGCAATCTCTGATACACTGCAGCTCACACATCAACTACAGGGCCCGCTCACCACAGGCTGCACTAACCAAGAGCTCACCAACGGCTGATTCGCACTGCCGACCTGAGCAGCGCGTGTGAGTGGCAGAACATTTTGCTTTAGGACCATGTTCAATCACCAGCTTAGGCGGCACCTTCTCCAAGCAAATGAACCAAATGAGGTCCAAATATGGAAGGGTGTTTGTGTGGGTTTTCTCCAGGTGCTCTGGTTTGCTCCCACAATTCTTAATAAATTAAAATGAATTAAATAAATAAATATTATTATTGTTATTATTTATTTAACAGTTTTATTAACACATATGACTCAATTGGCCATTAGCCAACATTTTTGCACCACCAGAATTGGTATAAAAATGATTGCAATGTAGTGGTTCAATGGATCACAGTTGATCCCTGATGTGTATGGAGTCTTCAAAGCTTTCTTTAAAATATCTCGGAGTTTAAGAACTTAACAGAACTTTAGTGTAGAGCTATTTTCTTTTGGAAAACACAAACCTGTAAGTAATTACAGAACAAAGCATACACATCTTAAAAGATTCATCAGAGAGCTAGATGAAAGTAAACTTCAGAAATTTCTGCGTTTCTGCACTGGATCTGATCTTGTTGTTGCAGAAAGCACCTACATGGAATTTGAAAAAAAACAAAAGAGTTCACAAGAAGACCAGTTGGGCACACATGGGAAGATTCTGTACTTAGCTGACAGTTATGAAAACTTCCCAGATGTTCGTTCAGAATTGAATGCAGTTCTTGAAAGCAATGTCGTTTAGACTCCCAAACACATTATCACACCAGTCCACTATTAAGAGTTTTCACGTTTAAACTAATTATGGACTAATTATGATGTTTCTAGACAGGAACATATTTTGTTCATGTAATTATAAAGGCCTTTTAATGCTGCTAAGAAGGTTGAGGG